GGGTACCTTGGGTGGGTGTGTGGTAGGGGTACCTAGTGAGGGTGCGGGGGTGGTACCTTCTCCCCCTTGCCGCTTTGTCTCTGTAAGGGATATGTGACATATAGCTACCGCTATACCGCACTGCCGCTATACCCCAATGCCACTATACCGCAATACCGCAATACCGCAATAACTGTTGCGGTATAGCGGTATAAGCATTTTGATTTTGCCGCAAAATCAAATTCCCCACCAACTCTATAATTATGAATTAACACAGGAACTATGTGATTCAAAAGAGAAAGAAAATCTTGAAAACAAACGTAAACTTATGTTTTATCAAGGTACATTGCATAGCCAGGGCCTAATTGAAGGATTTCTTGGCTATTTACAAGGTGTTATACAACCAAATAGTGCAAAACCAATGTCAACAAAAAAATTATTCAAAAAAATTATCGATATGGCTTATAATTCTTCCAAAAGCAATTCAATTATTACCTGTGTCGTCGATGGTATGTTTCAATGTATGAAAATCGATTGGAATAATTCATCGGACGATGAAAAAATTAATAAGTCAAATCAATTAATACAAGAATTAGACAATGTTTATTCATTATTATCGGAATCTAGACATGGCATGAAAAATTCTCGACATGATCAAGAATTTATAATTTTGTCGTGAGTTATTGATTTTTCTCAATCGAAAAAAAACAACAACAAAATATTTTATCTTGTTTTTATTTAGGAATGGTTTGAATGATACTCAAATTTGTTTAGTTAAATGTATAGCAATACATTTTTTACGTCTGAATAATAATAATATTCATATTGAAAAGTATTGATGAACTTGACCACAGATATTAATTATTGTATTTTAAAACATGCATTTTTGAACATATTTCATTGTTTATTATTTTCATTTGCTTTTGTTTGGATTTGAAATAGAATAAGAGATATATAGTATTATTCTCTCATATTCATATCTTACATTGTTTGATAATTCTTCATACAATTGGAAAAAAAGAAAAGAGCGATTCATCGTGAGAGTTTATCACAATATAATCATTGACATAGGCGATGTCTGCCGATTTGAATAAAAATTGCGATCAATTTACGGTTGCCTTGTCAGCAGTAGCTTTATAATAAATGTAGAAATCTTTCAAATTTCCTTTAGACTAGTATCACTTTTTTTTTATACAAAATATATTCCAGTACTTTATTAAGATATTTTTTTATAACAGTTTAGTGAATCCATAGAAATCACATGAACAATTTAATATACAGGAGTAATAAATTGAATCTTATTTACAAACATACCGCTAGATTCGTACATCAGCTATTTTTAACTACCATCAACAAAGATTATTAACATTTAATTTTGCATGAACATATTTTATATAAATTAGTTCATATCAGATTGTCTGTTGTTGTATAATCGTCTTGACATGTATGTCCATCTGACGTGGCTTGGGTGTGGGTGTAAAGGCACGCGTTGTTTCTTACCACACACCCTGCTGATTTTCCTCTTCTTGTTTCTGGAAAAATTAATCGACGCCAACTAGTGGACTCTTTAAATGTTGATCATGAAATAAAAGAGGTAATTGAGCAAAAATCATTGAATGTTCATGAAGCATTTTGTTTGGCACTCGAAGAGATTGGTATTCCACGAGCTTACATGAATCGATCATTTTTCGCTGCCGGTGGTTCATCACGGAATGCGCTGTTACTGGTTGCTAAGTTACATCGTTTTGGTTTATCGTGCCTAACTGTTGAACGTCTATTCGATGCATCAACATTAAATGATATTCTTTTAAATGAAGTGTATATTGATCGATCCAATAAGGAATTGTTTTTTGAATATGATAATAAATATCAAGTAGTGCCTCTGGCACAAATCGGCAAAGATCAAGGCATTGCTATTGTAGTCGATTCATTTGCTACTTTAGGAGAAATCGATACTCTTATTCATCAAAATCAGCCGAATGCTCAACTTGAATATAGGCGACAATTCACTGTTATATTAAATCATCACTGGCCTCAGTTTGTGACATTGGAGCTCTCGTTTGGTATTATCAACAACAATGGAAACCTACTTGGCGTGTCTCTGTCGACTGATGCAGCACATGAGCCATATATAGATCTGACAACCGTACCACTAGTTGCTCCAATATTAACCATGCTAGAGGTTAAAGAGAAAGAGTTTTTAAAGCGTTTGCACTCTCAAAAGGATGTTCCTGAATCAATCATGAGTAATTTGATCACAGCAGTCAATCTAGATGTGCCACTCGAGAAACGAACCAATGTTATGTATCAGATTGAACGTCATACGTTACAAGTTGCAAAGGCTCACGGTTTCCAAGCTATTGTGACGGCTAATACTGGTAGTGTAACACAGCAATTGACTAAATATGTCTTCAAATATGATGAAAATTTGGTAGTACAACTTAATGAATATCGTGATCCTTCCGGCGATTTGATCTTCTCTCATGCTGATCCTAATCAAACAATGACTATCAGTATGAAGTATATTGTTTGAAACTATGATTTCTTTTGCTGATTATGGGTACGCGTGTTAGTATCTATTTTCTACTATCAACCGCCCCAGACCCACACCCACACCATTTCGATGCTCTATAGATAGTGTGAAATACATAGTCAAACAACCAACTTCATTTTTAATAGCACACCTACTAATCTAATAGTGTGACACATTCCATTGGAGCTTGATTGTTATCACGCCATACTTTGTTGTTTACGCTTGGATAACTTGTTTCTCTCTCTCTCTCTTTTGACTATAATTTAAAAAAAGGCTAACAAAATACATTAAGTGTATGCTCCTTTTTATATAAAAAAAGCACACGTACAGTACTACTTATTCAATTACAAATCATCACAAATAGCTGCTGATACAGAAATCAGTAATGAAAATAACAAAAATTCTTTAAAATCATCTTCATTTCTTCAACCATTGAGAAAAAATATGCCAATAAGACGAAATCGTTCAAAATCTTCGTCCCCTACAACGCTGATTTTATTGGCAAGTCAAACTTTAAACTGTTCACTTCCGACAATACATAATTCACTAATGGTTTCATCCAGTTCAAATAATCTAACACTACTAACAGAGGCAACAACTCCGATAATATCACAAAACTAAAAACAATCGCTTCATTTTCAACTTTTAATCTAACACACATACAAGTCATTGGATTAGCTAAAACAAATTATGATATTTTTGTGAAACATAAAAATGATATTTGTCGAAAATTTGAACATGTCTTAATTCAACTGTTTAATTCATTACAACGATCTCTACCTCTCATTGAAAATCTTACATAAACCTTACACCATTTTGATTATAGTCCTGAAGTAACATCAACTAAGAAATTCGAATATATTATTTGTTTCTGTTCTGCATTAGGTTCATGCTAATGGATATCGAACATTAATTTTATCACATGATCATGCATGCTGACGGACTTTAGAGATACTTAAACAAGTGAATGCAAAACATATTGCTCATTTGCATCGTCGCATAAACTCGTTGAAATTATTGCAAGAACTTAAATCATGGACGAAAACTCTTAAAGTCATGAAACACATGTTGTCATTGGCTGTTGCACTAGTCGATTGTTCGGATAAACACGCATTATTTGTAAATAGAAATACGCATTTGACGGAAAGTGATAAACTTTGAAATTGTTCTACTTTTGTTTTAGACAAATGTTAGTCAAATACCATCGAATATTGAACTAGATTATTATAAAATGGTTGCGCATGATTCAAAACCAGGGTGTCCAGATCTTCCGATATTGCAGGAAAGATTCCGATTTTTGAACTTTTCCCGACGTTCCGATTTTCTTCGGTTTTTTGAATTTTTTTTAAATTTAAGCTTTTTGAACACTCCAAGATAATTTAATCGTATACGAGCCGATCAATTCTGGTCTGTCTTACTAAATAATTGTCCGAATTCAACATAAAATATGAAAAAATCATTTGTTAGATTTTTTCAATTCCACGAGCAAACCCTTTTGTCGAAAGAATATTTAGTCATAATGAGACATTTATGGTTTGATTATCGTAATGGAATGAATATTGAATTAGCTGCTGCAGAATTGAAAATCAGAATGAATTTTAATTATCCTAGCGAGTATTTGTATAAATATCTTTTAACTCAGCGTGATATATTGAAGGACATGCGAGCTAATGAAAAATGTGAGCGAAAAAACATTGTGACCTTTAATAAATTTTAGCGTGTTTTAATACAAATTTTGTAAAATTTATATGTATGTATAACTTTATACTTTTGAATCAAAAGTTTTGATTATATTTTTATATCAAATTGATTCTAAGATTATTGAAAAAATAAACATCAACGTAGTCTTTATTCTAACAAGTCAAGTACAATAAGAATAAAGAGTTTACTCCGTGAAACTGATTGACAAGTATCTAGCATAAATCGATTTCATTAGTGAATATTCTTTCTTCTAAAGAAAATGACTCTGACATGTTAAAAATCCGAATTGTCACACAAAAATATATGCTAAAATGGCTACTGTTTGGTTTATTCATATCTTTAGTGTCATCTGTTTTCATGAAAAGTTTGATAAACATTAAATAATTAAACCATCAAGAAAAGTTTCCTTTTTTACTTCAGTTTGGTTTTATTAAAATAAATAGAAGAAAATCTTCATCAGTAAATATTAATCACTATCAACAGTTTGATTATGATATTCTTGTGGATCTGGTGAATAGCACGTCTCATAAAATCTGAGAGTAATAGCATAAGTTTATAAACGCCGTAGATTTCGTAACAGGTACACTAAATTTAGAAGTTTTCTTCTAATTTGGCATGCTCTAACTGTTCTAAAGTCAAACTACAATGAAGAAAAATCTCAAAGTCATACAAAGCTCAGAATAAGGCGTAAAACTCTGATATTTGAGTCTTCGGAGGGTATACAAATGAAAAAGTTTTCTAGGAAACCACTATAAATCGCAACTTTTTTGTTGAATCGCGGTGCTACACGGAAAAATTGAGATCTCTGAAACCGGCAGTTACCGTAATAATCTATATCGCGACTTTATAGTATCGAACCACTTTCTATGAAACTGTTGAGTATATTGTTTTGCTTAGTTGTTTCCAAGACATTATTCTTATATGTATGAGTCATCGTCAGAAAACTTTGAATCTTTTGGTATAATAGACGCTCTTTTGTTTGGATAAATTTGCCACATTTTCAACGATCATTCATTTCATTAAGAAACCGGAGCTTAGAGTCTTGCTCTTCTTATTCTAACTATGGTATTACTAAAGGCTACTTTTTAAACAGCTACAAAAGTGAATAGTTAGTTTTATTCTTTTTTGTGCTTATTGTAATGGTTGCCGATGACTTTTAAGAAAGAATAAAATGAGAAAAGCTCTCTGTTTTCTTTGAGTGATAGCTTGAAAATTTTCTTTCTACCTTTCTCGACAAAAAATAGCGTAGAAGTCCAGAAAGTTGTTTTAGTTTACTTTTTTTTCCTTATTATGCTATAATTTTCCGAAGATTTAAAAGGAACAACAGAATACTGTAAAAAAAAAGTTTTTTCCCGAGGAGATTGTGTCACGTTTTTTTTTTACTTGTGTGGATGCTTGTATAGCATTCTTTATGAAGAGATACATAAGTTTTCTGTTTTAAAGAGAAGATTTCTAGTGTTGTTTGCCATTTTTCTGAAAACAACTTGAAAGCTTAATTTTTTTTCTGTTTTCCACGTAGTGTGTTAGTAGGCATGGTTTCGCTTTCCTGCCGTAACAATATTTACACACCGTGGCATAGCCCGGTCTCTCAATATTCTTTAAATGTGATTACCTGTTTTCATCTTGATGGGAGAATTCCATTAGAGCTAGTGTTCACTGATACCGATTAATGAAGTATTATCGATGATCCTTATTCTTTTATAAGATGACAGAGATGTTATATACTGTAATGTTAAGCAGTGCATGTGAACTGTCACCGTCACAGCAATAGTTTTTAGTCTCAGACGTAGAAAAATAATAAAACGTCAAAAGGGCTTAATAAAAAGATCTATTGTAGTGTATAATTATCTAAGTATTAAAAGAAAAACTAAAAATTCAATGAGAAGACGATATAATCACGATTTTTATCAATACCTGTAGCTTCTATTAGTATAGTGAAACTAAAGAATGCATGAATTCCATACTTCAATGCCCAGCCAGTCATGCCGACGACCCTTTTAGTCAATTATATTCGGTTGCCTAACAGAAATAGACTTTAATCAACCATCTTCGATGTCATGTAAAACGATTTTGATTTAATAATTGATCATTTCGAGCATTGTATACGAAGTTGTTTATACCGCATTACCCTTATAATTGATTAAAATTGGCTCGATTGTGAATCTGTTGTTTAGATTATTAAATATGTAACAGATTATTTAGATTTCAGCTTTAATCCATTATTTGAATTATTCCAAATGAAATCAATTATAATGAATTTTTTTGTAGTCAATTAAAATATATTCGATCTTTAATCTATTATATAGGTTTTCCACCGTAAAATAGATTTTCCTTGATGATTTCGCGCAATAAATTCATTGTTTTGTTAAACTTAATCAGAAAGTGGCACATTTAGTCAATTATTTGCGATTTTTCGGTCGTTTTCTGCGTAGATATCGCAACGTGGTTATGTCATGCCTTGTTTTTCATTGACAAAGTTCGTTTCCATATTTAAATTTTACTTACTTTTCTACAATAAAGATCTTATTAATCTTTATTTTTGGTGTGGGTAGATCGAACCTAAGAAAACCGATACCCACACTCTTGTAACAGTGAGCTCAAAGATGCAGACATGTTAGATTCATTGACAGTTTTATTTTCACAAATATGCTAAGTGACGGTTTTGTACTCTTTTGTTCGATTCTCAAATGCATCACTCAGTTATCGAAGTTTTACTATTTACTATGTGAAGAAGCTTTCCATTGTACTCGACGTGCACCTGACCGAATCATTGAATTAAGGGAGATGTGAATAGTTTATCCCTTGATCTAATTGTGGAAGACTGAGTTTTTTTCACTTAGGTAATAGTCGGAATCTGCTGCATCGAAGAAAATGTCATCATCATATACAAAGGAACTCGACTGTTTTGGTAATGCTTGTACTACATGTGGTCGTTGTCGTGATTGGAAGCACACTGGTCGTAATTGGTATCGTGCTTCAGATGCCACTTGTAACGATTATCGTTATTTTCATTATTTAATTTATCGTCACCCGCCTGCTTTTCAACGTGGTATCGGTGGCCGCCTTATTTCTCATTATTTTCATCGTGGTCGGGGGGCAGGTGTCATTATCTTTGACACTCCAACTCACACCGACTATCATAATTTATGTGAATGTAGAAAGTAACCATGAACAGCAGATTTCTTTGTAAAAGTCGCTTTATGACATTTGGTTTCTTTCAAGAAAATCGAGAGTAATCGAATAATGTATTGGAGAAGATGACTGTGTACTGATTTGTACCGAAGTTAGGTGATACTACGTAGGGTGTAAATGATTACGATAGTAGGTATCGGCGACGTCAAGATGCAGCCATGTATACTCTCAGCTAAATCAACTGATATTCATTGAGTTTATATAAATAATTTTGAATGATTCAATCGTATATTAAATATCAGTATTTATGCATGCGGTTCTAAGATGCCCAGCTTTTTGGTAGTAAACAAGAAAACCTGTTAATTGACCTCTCACATACATAAAACTTCAGGCAATTCTAGTCTCTCTATCACAATTTGCATCAGATTGTTGATTGGTTATTTTTCGCTTTGTCCATGAATGAACAGAATGTTTTATTTACCGCCGTCTTTTCCGTCTGTGAATTTCAAATTGTAATAGTTTTCAAATGATTTTCATTAACCTTTCTACATTTGGAGATACAATCAATTTGTATTACTAGTTAGGGTTAGACACAAAGTTAGAAAAAAGTAATCGGTTAGAAGCCAAGTAAACTATTTAATTTGAATCGCCCACAGTGCTAACTGTTTCCGACAATTACTAATTGATTAATGTGATTTTATAAATTGTCTCTAGTTTGTGGGTGTGGGTGCATAGGAGATTCAACACCCACACCCACACCCTCAGGTAACTACCGTAGTTACATAGTTACTAGTAAAGTAATGGTAAAGTGCTATTCTGACCTGATTTGGCATCAAGTTATTATGCTGCAAGTGTAACTGATTTTTTCGAAGAGAAAAATATCAATTTGATACCTAAAGAAAAAATCCACAGAATTGTCCTCAGACACGTCCTATTGAAACAATTTGGCAAATATTAGAAGAAAAGGTTTATGGTGGTGGTTGGGAAACCAAAACAATCGACCAATTGAAACGAAGAATACAACAACAGCTGAAAAGAATTGACATGAAGTCTGTACAAGCAATGTTTTCGTCAATAAGAAAGCAATAACGAAAAATCGCGGATAAAGGACCATTCGCAGCTTGCTCATTTTAATTTTTAGTACATGTGTATACGTACTTTCTTCTAATATGATTAACTGAAAAATTAAGTTCTTGTTGAGAAAAAAACAATACCCAGGTCGAACATACACGGTCGTATACGACGGTAAATCGCCGTATTTGGCCGTATTACATGGCTCCGTATTACGATCGTAAATCTCCGTGTCGTAATACGGAGCCATGTAATACGGCCAAATACGGCGATTTACCGTCGTATACG